TGTGTGCCCACTGTTAGAAGTGGGTGAATGCAGGGCGGTATATTCTAATGGTGGGCATACCACACACTTTTTGTGGCAGAGATTTCTTCTCTTTTTTTCATTCAGCCCACAGGCTGCATAAAAAAGAAGAACATAGCATATACACCCAACAAGGATCAGCGACGTACTGGTACATCACTGGAATTTGAGTGGTTATACCAGGATGATGCCTGCATCCTGGTATCACTTTTTTCAGCCGGTGATTGGCTTTCATGTAAAAGCAATCCTAGTGGCTAATTAGCTGCAGGATTGCTTTTACAAGCCTTTCACAGCCTTTGGGGGAACCTCAGAATGCAGCCGGTGTTTTCTGCCAGAATGGTGCCAATCATCTCTATAGTCTAAGAAATTGGAAGCTAAGAGCATTTCATCACTTCAGTTTCACAGGATATAAACAGTGCCATTTGTAAATTGGGAAAGCATCTGATCACACGGATCTTGGTTGAGATTAGATAATGTAAGGGCAGAGGAGATATCTAGAGTTTGATAGACCCCAGATTTCTCAAAAAAGAATATATGACAATGCCCATTGAAGTTATAGGGGATATTTGCATTCCCTGTGATAGCATTAAAAGTGCTAAAAAAAATTTAAAGGGACAGTGTAAAAATAATTGAAAAAATCAAAATAACTTAAAAAAAAAAACGTGAGTGTTGACCCCCTGCCAGTTAGTAAACAGTGGTTGCACCATGCATGTGAGGTATCGCCATGAGCATCATATCAAGGGCAGTAATTTTAGTGCTAGACCTTCTTTGTAAATCTAAAATGGTAGCTTGTACAGGTTTTTAAAGCGTTGCCTATGGATATTAAAAATGTATGCAGTTTGTCGCCATTACATGGGGCATGCACAGTTTTAAAGCATGTCATGTTTGGTATCTATTTACTCGGCATACCATCATCTTTTATTGTTTACCAAATAATTGGCCAATATATTGTGTTTTTGTGCATTAAAAGTAAAAAAAATGTTTTTTTTTTCAAACAATTTGCGTTTGAAAAAGAGCTGCGTGAGTACTATGTGACATAAAAAATTGCAGCAACCACCATTTTATTCAAAAAATGTGGAAAAAAAAAATCTTCCATGGACTCAATATGCCTCTCAGCAGATAGCTTAGGGTGTCTACTTTCTGAAAAGGGTCATTTGGGGGTATTTGTACTGTCTTGGTATTTTAGCACCTCAAGAAATGTGATAGGCAGTCAGAAAGTAAAAGCTGTGTAAATTCCATTACCTATACCATACATAAAGCAATCAATTTTGATCTTTTTTTGTTTAAAGCCCGAAAAAATAAAAATCACACAGGTGATCAAATACCACCAAAAGAAAGCTCTATTTGTGACTAACTTTGAGTTTTGTTTTTTTATAGCCAAAAGTAAAAAATATAGTTTTTTTTTCAAAATGTTTGGGGTTTTTTTTGTTAACGCAAAAAATAAAAAGCGCACAGGTGATCAAATACCACTAAAAGAAAGCTCTATTTGTGTGAAAAAAGACATAAATTTCATTTATGTATAGCACTGCATGACCGCGCAATTGTCAATTAAACTAGTGCAGCGCTGTATAGCAAAAAATGGCGTAAATGTCAGTATCTATACCAGGGGTGGGCAAACTTTTTGACTTGAGGGCCGCAATGGGTTCATATATTGGACCCGGGGGCCGGACCAAGAGTAGATGAATTATGTGTATGTGTCATCCATAGTAAGTATAGTAATATTCCCCCATAGTAAGCATAGTAATTATTCCCCCATATAGTAATTCATCCCCCATAGTAATTCATCCCCCATAGTAATTCATCCCCCATATAGTAATTCATCCCCCATAGTAATTCATCCCCCATATAGTAATTCATCCCCATAGTAATTCATCCCCCATATAGTAATTCATCCCCCCATATAGTAATTCATCCCCCATATAGTAATTCATCCCCCATAGTAATTCATCCCCCATAGTAATTCATCCCCCCTATAGTAATTCATCCCCCATATAGTAATTCTTCCCCCATAGTAATTCATCCCCCATAGTAATTCATCCCCCATATAGTAATTCATCCCCCATAGTAATTCATCCCCCATAGTAATTCATCCCCCATATTAATTTATCCCCCATATTAAGTCCCCAAGTCCCCCCTGTGTCAATTCACTTACCTTTGCTCCGCGCGTTCCTCTCGCCGTGTCCCACCCCATTCCGGTGTAGCATGAAAATCTGTCTCCTATGAGGATCTGTCCCCCTCGACGTATCTGCGCATGTGCCAGTTTCAGGCATTAGCAGCCGATCGGCGATCTCCGGCACATGCGCAGATACGTCGAGGGGGACAGATCCTCATAGGAGACAGATTTGCATGCTACACCGGTCTTCAGGGCGGACTGTGAGAGGAGCCTAGCTCCACGGGCCGGATTAAAAGGTCCGCCGGGCCGTATACGGCCCGCGGGCCGTAGTTTGCCCATTGCTGATCTATACCATAGTTTGTAGATGCTATAACTTTCACACAAAGCAATCAATATATACTTATTGGGATTTTTTTAAGAAAAATATGTAGCAGAATACATTTTGGCCTAAATTTATGACTAACTTTGAGTTTACTATATATTTTTTATAGCCGAAAGTAAAAAATATAATTTTTTTCAAAATTTTTAGTCTTTGTTAATAGCGCACAAAATAAAAAGCACACGGGGATCAAATACCACCAAAAGAAAGCTCTATTTGTGTGAAAAAAAGGAAATAAATTTCATTTGAGTACAGCATTGCAATTAAGAGTTGAAATAGTGCAGTGCCCAATAGCAAAAAAGGCCTGGTCCTGTTTTCTCTGCTCCTCTTCTTTTTCAAATGTCCACGCTGATAAGACAGCCTGAACTCATACCCTTCTGCACATGCAGTTTAGTGTCTTTTTTTGTTTATAGAAAAAAATAAAAAGAGCGCAGGTGATTAAATACCACCTATAGAAAGCGCTATTTGTGCGAAAAAAGGACGTAAATTTTGTTTGGGTACAGTATTGCATGACCATGCAATTACCAGTTGAAATAATGCAGCGCCGAATAGTAAAAAAAAAGGCCTGGTCAGGAAGGGGGTAAATCCTCAGGAGGGCAAGTGGTTAAAAAAAAAGGACTGGATTCTTTCCTAGGTACACATAATATAACTGGTTGCTAATATTTATAGATAAAGTATTGCTTTTTATTGTAAAGCACTGAGCAAACTGTTGGCGCTATACAAATCCTGTATTATAATAATATTAATAATAATGATAAAATTGATCCAGGGAATATCCAATTGTTTTTTTTTTATGGTTGAACTAGATGGACTTTTGTCTTTTTTCAGTCGGACTATGTAACTATGTAAATACATTGAAAAATTAATGTCTACCCACAGAGGAAGGAAGCCCCCTTCACACACATATGTTAGCACAAAAACACTAAATGTACCAAAAGGGAATTTTGCTTATACTTCAATTTGTGTTATTTGGAAGAGATGCTCAAAAATAAGGCCTCATCTGGATTACATAGATTGGGTAAGAAACTACAAAAAAAGCAAAAACTATGCTTTTTACAAAAAAAAAAAATATTGTTTTAAGTAAAAGAATCCTAGAGAAAAAATGCCCAAAGGCATTAATGCTAACTGTATCCACTTCCAAGATATAATCCAGTGTGGAATACCACCGCATGCACCCTCATTTGTAACACTCCCGCCCCTCCGGCGTCTGACGTCACTGGCAGGTCGTGGATGCACAATGACACCATTGCACTTGAGCTGAACCGCATCCATTCTGTTCTATTCATAGAAGCTGTTACTACAGCTTCTATGAATGGAACAGGATCTATGACTGGAAGATGGACAGATTATTAAAAGGTCTGCTCCCTCTATGCATAGATCATGTTTCTTTCTTAGAAGCTCCAGTACAGCTCTTATGAATGGAGGAGCTGGGTGAAATGAGTGGGCGTAGTTGGGCACTCTTGATGAAAGCCTGTGACAGCTCCCTTAGTTCTATTAACATTTGCCACTCCGGAAGATGGCTGTGTGGGTGGGGGGAATTGGTGGATGGAGAAAGAAGCACAAGGACCCATTAATCTGAAGGTAAGTAATGTCCCTTCTGCTTCTTTTATATATTTATTTGTAGGTAAAATTAGGCATTAACATTTATAGGTAGCCAGAGATTATTGATCCAGAGAATTTCCAATTGCCTTCTGCAGGGTTAGGAAGGAATTTATTTTTTTCCCCCACTAAAGCAAATTGGATCTTATTTTACTGAAGTCTGGTAAATGAAAAATATCACGTTCATATTCTTTTTCTTTTAACAGCTCATGGTTTAAGTGACTGAGCCGGTCTAGTTACTTTTTTCTCTCTGTTGTTGGCTCAATAATCACCAGCTGGCCCCACCCAATAACACAGGTGAATGAATGATGATAGTAACAAAAACAGGTTGTGCATGGCTTGGGGTTGTTATTTGTCTGTTTTTACATTGCAATGCATATCTAGAGCAGTACTAATCTAATATACATATACACAGTATATATATATATATATATATATATACATATACATATACATACATACACACACACTATGTTGCCAAAAGTATTGTGACGCCTTGCCTTTACATGCACATGAACTTTAATGGCATCCCAGTCTTAGTCCGTAGGGTTCAATATTGAGTTGGCCCACCCTTTGCAGCTAAAACAAATTCAACTCTTCTGAGAAGGCTCTACACAAGGATTAGGAGTGTGTCTATGGGAATGTTTGACCATTCTTCCAGAAACGCATGTGTGAGGTGTCAGGCACTGATGTCAGACAAGAAGGCCTGGCTTGCCGTCTATGCTCTAATTCATCCCAAAGGTGTTCTATCGGGTTGAGGTCAGGCCAATGAAATTCCTCCACCCCAAGTTCGCTCATCTGTGTCTTTATGGACCTTGCTTTGTGCGCTGGTGCACAGTCATGTTGGAACAGAAAGGGTCCATCCCCAAACTGTTACCACAAAGTTGGGAGCATGAAATTGTCCAAAATGTCTTGATATGCTGATACTTTAAGAGTTCTCTTCACTGGAACTAAAGGGCCAAGCCCAACCTCTGAAAAACAACCCCACACCATAATCCCCCCTCCACCAAACTTTACACTTGGCACAATGCAGTCAGGCAAGTACCGTTCTCCTGGCAATCGCCAAACCCAGACACATCCATCAGATTGCCAGACAGAGAAGCATGATTCATCACTCCAGAGAACATGTCTCCACTGCTCTAGAGTCCAGTGGTAGCATGCTTTACACCACTACATCCGACACTTTGCATTGTACTCGGTGATGAAAGGCTTGGATGCAGCTGCTCGGTCATGGAAACCCAGTCCATGAAGCTCTCTATGCACTGTTGTTGACTAATCTGAAGGCCACATGAAGTTTGGAGGTCTTTAGCTATTGACTCCGCAGACAGTTGGTGACTTCTGGGCACTGTGCTGTTGTTCCCAGTTGCTTCCACTTTGTTATAATACCACTAGCAGTTGACCGGGGAATATTTAGTAGCAAGGAAATTTCACGTATGGACTTATTGCACAGATGGCAACCTATCACGGTACCACACTTGAATTCACTGAGCTCCAGAGAGTGACCCATTCTTTTGCAGATGTTTGTGGAAGCAGTCTGCATGCCTAGGTGCTTGATTTTATATACCTGTGACCATGGAGGTGATTGGAACACCTGAATCCAATGATTTGGAGGGGTGTTCCAATACTTTTGGAAATATAGTGTATATATACTGTATCTGTCTGTGAAAGTCTTGATTTTGATACAGTAATTAGGAATAGTATTGTAGCTATAAGGACTATATAGCATATCTGTGTAGTATATATTGTACTGTGCTGTATACTTTTAAGCAAAGCCCCATATCTAGAGTAATATGATCCTTTGTTCTGAGGACTGTGAGTTTCGGTGGGACTGTCTTCTATGCGATATGTGTACAGTGTATATAGTGATGATAGATAGATAGATAGATAGATAGATAGATAGATAGATAGATAGATAACAAACAGTCCCTTCCACCCTTCAAGCAGCCAGCAAATAAACCTAACTAAACAGTATCAACTATTTAGGCTGAAAAAATAGAGGTCACCTAGAGGTAGTCCTTTCCTTTTGTGGGTACAGTAACACACCTGAAGCCCGGATACTGTATATAAACCTTACTATGCTGTTTCAGTGTGTTTCACATGTAGTGTTCAGCATTAACATGTTTTGACATCAGTTTCAAACTCAAACATTAATTGAAATGGGCTGCCAATGCACCACAATAGACAAAATTTGGACCTAAACAATTTTTTGACAACACAGTGAGTTGACAGTGCATTGCCGAATGCTCTGTAATGCAAGTAGGTAAGGACGCTATTCAAAATGAAAGGCAGTGCTATGACCTAATGCTTTACTGCTGTTACTGCGATGTGCTGTGTGAATAAGCCCTTAATGATTTTTTTTTCTTTTTTAGAAGAGACATATCCAGTGTATATGTGTGTGTTACTAAGAGGTCAAGTGACCTTCTTCATATGCAGTTAAATTAGCAGTCCAGCTGCCGGTGAAAGCAGATATAGAGATAAATCAACTGCTCCATGCCTTCATTTTGGGGGAAGGGGGGATGGAATAGGATTCGAAAAAACATGAAGTGAAGACCTAGGGTGATATACAAAAATTCTCCACAAATACACATGTTCTTTTCATTGTCTCTGACTTATGTGGGGCATATTTATTAAGCCAATACCATGCATCTTCTTCTCAAACCCTAATGCAGGCCATAGATGGGGAGAAAAAACGGCAGATTTTTCTTTTAAAAAACGAAAATTCGGTCGTTCAAGCGACCGACGTTACCATCAATGGTAAAAAAAATCGGCCGATTTTCATCCCTTCTACAGCTGGCAAAAAGTGTCCCTGCAGAGAGCTCCGCTATTTCTGACAGTTCTCTGACAGTTCCTTCACATTTACAGCGGTTGAAACATTGTATCTATTTGTTTCCATTTAGGATACAGATGTTTTTATTCGGAAACAAATAGATACAATGTTTCAACCGCTGTAAATGTCAGAGAACTGTCAGAAATAGCGGAGCTCTCTGCAGAGATACTTTTTGCTGGACTGGAATTCTTCTTATTTTCATCCTACTTCTTCTTCTTCTTCTTCTTCATCCTCATCCTCTTCTTCTTCTTCATCTTCTTCTTCATCCTCATCCTCTTCTTCTTCTTCTTCATCTTCTTCTTCATCCTCATCCTCTTCTTCTTCTTCTTCATCTTCTTCTTCATCCTCATCCTCTTCTTCTTCTTCTTCTTCCTCATCCTCTTCTTCTTCCTCATCCTCTTCTTCATCCTCATCCTCATCTTCTTCTTCTTCTTCCTCATCCTCTTCTTCTTCTTCTTCATCCTCATCCTCTTCTTCTTCATCATCCTCATCCTCTTCTTCTTTTTCCTCATCCTCTTCTTCTTCTTCTTCATCCTCATCCTCTTCTTCTTCTTCATCATCCTCATCCTCTTCTTCTTCATCCTCATCCTCTTCTTCTTCTTCATCTTATTCTTCCTCATCCTCTTCTTCATCCTCATCTTCTTCTTCTTCCTCATCCTCTTCTTCTTCTTCATCCTCATCCTCTTCTTCTTCATCATCCTCATCCTCTTCTTCTTCATCCTCATCCTCTTCTTCTTCTTCTTCTTCTTCTTCTTCTTCTTCTTCTTCTCCATCTTCTTCTTCTTCTTCTTCTTCATCCTCATCCTCTTCTTCTTCTTCATCTTCTTCTTCATCTTCTTCTTCTTCCTCATCCTCTTCTTCTTCTTCATCCTCATCCTCTTCTTCTTCATCATCCTCATCCTCTTCTTCTTCTTCATCCTCATCCTCTCCATCATCCTCATCTTCTTCATCCTCATCCTCTTCTTCTTCTTCCTCATCCTCTTCTTCATCCTCATCTTCTTCTTCCTCTTCTTCATCCTCTTTTTCATCCTCTTCTTCATCCTCTTCCTCTTCTTCTTTTTCTTCTTTTTGTCTTCCTCTTGCAGGTCACTGCTCATGCGCAGATTTTTTATCGGTAAAAAATCGGCCGATTGGCCCATTAATGCCGCGAAAATCGGCCGATCGGACGATTTTTTTCCAACTTTACCAAAAAAAAAAACCCGGCCAAAATCCCGAAAAACGGCCGACCAAATCGCCCACTAACGATCCGAAAATCGGCCGATTTTATTTTCGGCCGACAAATCGGCCGATTTTCGACCCATCTATGGCCTGCATAAGGCTACATGTACACTGGAACATTTATTTTACTGGCAGTAGAGAAATGCTAAATGTGGTGAAAACATGTGTAAATGCAGTACCATGTTCAGCTGTGTTTACCTGCATTGAGTGCTTGGATGTTTATTCATTTCAATGGACAAAGTACTTTTTGCTGCGTTTGGAGTTTTTTGGCCAAAATGTTCCTCTCCTAATTGTCCCTAAACTCTGATAAAAGTCTATGTATGCATAGGGGTTGATTTACTAAAGGCAAATAGGCTGTGCACCTAAAGTGCAGTTGCTCTAGATCTGAGGGGAAAATGCAAGAAAATAAAAAAAACAGCTTTTTTGCTTGCACATGATTGGATGAAAGAAACAAGCAGAGCTTTGCCTCATTTCAGAGCTTCCCCTTGGATCTAAAGCAACTGCAATTGCAGTGCATGGCCTATTTACGTTTGGTAAATCAACCCCACAGGCTTTTACAAGGTTGAGTTTAGGGGCTTTGGCAAAGAAATGCTAAAAGCTCCTAAACTTGAGCAATGTGCATGAGGCCTTAAGCAGGCCATACATTATGCAATTTTCTTTCCTTCAACCAAAGTTTGAAGGAAAGAAAGTGGCGGCTTGATTTCCCCCTATTGACGGGGGAATCCCTCCCGCAGCGCTTTTGTGCTCTGCCGTCGGGGAGCGCAGGGAACCTTTTCCACCAATAGAATACAAAGATCACGTTTTCCTGAGCTCCGGCGCCCTGCATTGCAATAGCAGCCACGGAGATAGCAGCCATCCACGGCAAATCTGAAGATCCCCAGACCCCGCCTGACACCCGTAGAGGGGTGCTGGGCAATTTTGCCCCCCCTCCGACCATCCAGGGCGCCGGACGGCTTGCGGCCTACCGCGGTGTGTGAAGCCGCGGTCTTTCCTAATTCCGCGGCCGGGATGGATCGTCGCCGCGGCTGGGACGACACTCTGCCGCTCTTCCCTGCAGACCCCTTGGACAGGTCAGGTGCTGGGACAGCCTGGGTGGGTCTCCCTGGCTCTTCTGATGGTCCTGAAGACTGTGCTAAGCCCCTGCAGAATTCCTGCAAGGCCTGGGGATCCCTTATAGTGGGGAAGTGGCCCTGGATAGGGGGAGAAGCCCCATCTTTCAGTCCCCTTCCCAAAAGGGTGAATTAGGGAAACCTGAGGCACTTCCTGGCTAGCTTTCACAGTGTCTGTACATCTGGCCTAGTTATCATAGCCACCTACATTTCACTGGCTGCTGAAATATTGGGGCCCACCCCTAACTCAACTGAGCCTACACCATTTACTGGCGTATTATAATATTGAATCTTATGTGAATGCATCCCCATCGGGGTACATGTACACACGTCAGGGGAGGATGATTAAGTGATCTCCCTGCGCTGTGCCAGCGGAATATTTGCCTCGACAATTGGGCTCCTACACTCTAGTGTATTACTCTAATAGATTGAAGGTGATTTGGAACCCTCGGGACTTCTCTTAACAATGCATCACACTCCACGTACCAAACCTAAATATCGGGCCCAACAGCAATCCCCTCCGCAGGGCTACGTCGCTAAGGGGCCACGTCGCTAAGCTAACACCTAGCCCGCCTGAACCAGATGACAATACTCAGCTTCCGGGAGACCCTGAGTCAGATGGCGATAGTCAGCGGCAATTCCCATCGGGGATGGCTGACCCTCTTGAACAAAATCCTGAAGCCTTATTACACGAATTCCGCGCTATAATGCGAGAGGAGATTGCAGTCGCCTCTCCTAAATTATCTTCTGATCTGGTAAGGGGCCTAAAAGAACTGGGCCTTCGTGCTCATCAATTGGAACAATGCTTGGATCTAGTGACTACGGTTCTGGTGGGTCAGGAACAGGAGGTGGAGGATCTGCATGCTGAGCTGGACACTTTGAAAGATAAATTGGAAGACGCTGAGAATAGAGCCCGCAGAGATAATCTCCGCATCCGCGGAGTTCCCGAGGTAATCACCGACCTACAGGGTACTGCTATTGCTCTTTTCCAGGAGATGGCTTCTGAGATCCCCCTGGAGCGTTTGGAGTTTGACCGCATCCACAGAGCTTTAGCTCCTAAGCCCACGGAGGGCCCTCCCAGGGACATTATTATTAAGTTCCACTTTTACCACACTAAAGAGCGTCTGTTACGGGAGGCTCGGAACCGTCCGGCTTTGGAATTTCAGGGACACTCTATTCATCTGTTTGCGGATTTGTCCCCAGTTACGATCGCCAAACGTCGCACCCTGAGACCATATCTCCAAATTCTTCAATCAGCTGGTATCAAGTACAGATGGCTCTTCCCTTTCAAGCTCTCATTCTCCTTCCAAGGTCGTCAATTCCAGGCTTCTTCCCCAGCAGATCTTCGCCATCACTTTCGGGAGCTTAACTTGGAGTTGCCACACC